TGGTTCAAGCAGGAAAATGGGAACCAGAAGCAAACCTGCCCTCGAGGAAAACTAGCCCAGAAACAAGCACGGAGCAGGGGAGGCGCAACCCGCACTCCCGGCCGCGTGAGCGCCTCTGGGGGCGACCACCACCCCGAGTAGGAGACTTTCCAACTCAAATAAGAGAGTTCACTGAGCTCAGGAAGGACGTGGAAAAAGACTTGTGTCAGACACGGAGGCTGAGCTACCAGTGCCCCTGGAGGAGGGCGCGGGTGAAGCCCGTTGCCCAGACCTTAAACCTGTACCCGCCCCGCCTCAGCCCAAACCCAAACTCATGCATCCTACCCCGAGCCCAGCCTCCCCAACTCTCCCGCCTCCAGAGGCTGCCTCATCCGCCTGGCCCAGGGTCAGGGTCAGGTTCAGTTATGGCCCCGAGAGCTCCGCCTGGGCAGGGCTGGGGCCCAGTGCACTGATGTGCTGCGCCCACCCGCACCGCACCACCTGTCATTGTGGCCTCGCGGCCCAGCCGCATTCCTCCAGGCCAAGCCCGGGGGTGAAGGGGAGCAGGTGGGAGGCTCCTGGGAGCTGTCCTGGGCTCCCCACTCAGCCCTCACACACCTTCTCCTAGGCTCTGAGCACCGGCCACGGCACCTGGGCGGGGAAGCACAGAAGGCCTTTCCCGGGGAGCACGTGCAGCCTGTCTGAGGTCAGCAGGTCTGGACGTGACGCCATAGCGCAGAGGGAACGGGGCGGGAGTGAGGCCTGGCCGCCCCCGGTGAGGAAAGGTGGGGGGGCAGCACGTACTTGGCATAGCCGCTCAGGCAGGCCTTCTGCATGGCGTCGATGGTGTACCGCAGGAACTCGTGTGCGTCCTCCTGGTTCCCGAAGCGGAAGTGCCGGGCGATCTCTGCAGAGGGGGGAGGGAGGAGCACCGTCAGACGGGAGGGGAGCCCCTGCTTCTTCAACGCCCCACGTGCGTGCCCACCTCCCCGTGACCGGTCCACGGCAGACCTCTGCAAGGGCAGCGAGGAAGCGAGCCATGCACATGTGACACCCCCTCATGGCCCCACTTCCCAGGCTCAAACCCTCCCCACTGGACAGGAGCGGGGGCTCGGGGTGCTCACACTGACCATGAACCCCCCTCGGCCCGCGTTCCCAAGCTGATGCAGCACCGGGGGCTTCGTTCTGCTCACACCCACCTGGCTTCCAGCACCAGCTCCGTCCCGCCCGGAGGGAGGCCATTGGACTTGGCCTCACCCCATCTCCGTCGCCGCTCCCCATGCTCACCTGCCCCCACTGTGACACTGTCCCCAGACCCCAACCACAGCCGTCCAGAGCCCACTGCCCTTCAGTGTGCGCCGCCAGCCCTCCACACCGTCACTGGCCCTGAGTCTTGGGACGCCCCGTCCCCTCCACACCCAGCAGCCGCGGTGGAGCCCGCAGGCGCGAGGCCGGGACCCACTTACTTCTCAGGTCCCGGATGAAGGACACGGGCTTGATGGCGTTGCCGCTGTTGGCGAAGGCCTGCACGAGGTGGTTCTGCATGACGCACAGCATGCAGAAGCTGCCCTGCGGACCTGCGGGCGAGGCCTGAGGTGAGGCTCCCCCACCACACACACACGCACACACATACATGCAGGGGCCGTGCCCAGACTCCCCCCACGTCGCAGGGCCACGACCCCCCCCACACACACACACATGCAGGGGCCATGACCAGGCTCCCCCCATGCCTCAGGGCCGGGCCATGACGCTCCCCCCATGCCTCAGGGCCACGACTCCCTCCCCACACACACACATGCAGGGGCCATGACCAGGCTCCCCCCATGCCTCAGGGCCACGACTCCCTCCCCACACGCACACACATACATGCAGGAGCCGTGCCGACTCCCACCCTGCCTCAGGGGCCACGACCCCCCACAGCTGTGCTCCTCTCCCTTGTGACTGGGTCGTGTGGGGACCCCTGTAGGTCCTCCTGCTCCTTCAGCACATTTGCTTACACAGAGATCAGGCCTGATGCCCAGTTCAGGGCACTGTTTCTCTGACTCCAGCTGCGTCATAGGGTCACCTGCCAGAACACTAGGGCTCCTGCCCCCAGCCTGCCCGCTGCCCCCAGGAGGTGCCCGCTCCCGTGTCAGGGCTCAGGAAACCTACATGAGGCCCCCTGTGGTCAACAAGTCCCGTCTGTGGGCTACCCAGCCTGGTACCTGGTGCCAGATCACCAGGTGGCAGACACGTGCCCGAGCTGGCAGCAGCCGACCCCCAGGCCGAGTCCATCACTGATACTGTCTGCTCCTCCCCAGGCACTAGGCCAGACAGTGGTACGATCTGCCTTTATTTAAAGTTATGAGACACTGACATAGAAAGGGAAGCACAAGACTGTCCCACCACCCGGCTCGTTTTAGGTTTCCAAAGGGAAGCACTAGTGAGCCCGCACCCTCCCAGTCTCACCCCCTCCCGCTCCTCTATCAGAGCCCCTCGGGGTGGGAACTGACTGCGCACCCCGTCAGCGGCACTGCAGCTGCGGGTCAAGCTTCCTTTGTATCCACCCCCCACGGTGCGTGTCACCACAGCCTGCTGTTCAAATCCCGCAGCCTGCGTTCAGCCCTCGCACACAAGCGGACGGAGCACAGTCCATTACACAGCCCCTGCTAGGGGACGCTACCCGCCCTCTCCCGTCGCCATGGCGATGCTGCCCCGAATGGCCCCGTGCCCGTATCCTGGTGTGTGACCGTGTCTCCACGGGCGAGCATGTCCTGCAGCACGGAGACCTCTCCAAGCAGGTTCCACTCCACCCTCTCCCTCTCCCCGCCAACACCCAGGCACCAGCGGCCCAGGCCCCCTCGGAATCAACACTGAGCAGCACGCAGCCTGTTCGCCGCACACACAGCAACGCCACTACGGCCCCAGCCGGGTGGCTGAGTCAGCTGGAGCGCTGTCCCGTACAACACGAGGTTGTGGGTTCGGTTCCCGGTCAGGGCACAGACTTAGGGTGTGGGTTTGGTTCCCACCTGCACCGTTGTCCTCCACAAGGCAAAGAGCCAGTTTGGACCCAATCCCCGCAGGCCAGACCGAGAGCCTCGAAATATGCTCGGAGAAGTCTGGAGGCCGTTACTCCTCCTGAGCAGTGCGTTTTCATGGCCTGTCCCGCACTGGGCACCCCTGAAGTTGGGTTTTATCGGTTACTAGGTGTCATGAAATGTCACCCCTAAGTGTGATCCAGGCTGCACGGGGGCGCCACCAGCCCAGCGGTTCCGGGCCTCGGAGCCCCCCCAGCCCACGGCGGGCACTCACAGCTGCGCGCGTGCTCCCGGGAGAGCAGGTAGTTGGCCAGCGGCGGCGTGTAGGTCAGGCACTGCACGGTGGAGTTCAGGAAGCACGTGTTGCCCAGGTTGTGGAGCCCGGCGCCCACGCGGTAGACGCGCTCCCACTTCAGAGACAGCCGCTCCACGGGGAAGAGCACCTTCTGCGGGGCGGGAACGCCGTCGCCTCCGCTCTCGTACGCGCGCTCGCAGCCTGGGACGGACAGGGAGAGAGGATGACGCACTTCTAGGCGCAGAAGAGAACCGGTGACGTGCACTTAGCAGGCACCTGTCCAGCACGGCAGCGAAGGGAACTGGTGTCCCATTGACTGGAAGCTCCATCAGCCCAGGAGGAAGCCCAGCCGCCCAGGACCTTCCCGAGGGCGCCGGCCAGGAATTCAAGGCCTCCCATGGCGAGAGGGTGCGATGCAGGGAATGACGAGCCGGAGGAGCCGGGCCGGCCCCCTGCAGCTCCTTTCCAAGTGCAGGGCTGTGAAACACGCATTCCCACGAAAGCTAAGGACACGGTCTCTCTGCCCGGCCCCGGGTCACTGCCTCTGCAACCGAGACCCAGGGACTCCACAGAAACTCACAACTCTGACCAATCTGTTCTGGTTCCTACAATCGGTCAGCGCTTCGCCCACCCACTTGGTGACCACCCAGCGAGGCCCCCTGCCCACCGGCCCGGCGTCTGTACCCGGTCTCCGGGCGGGGGGCTCATCCCCGCGGGGGCGAGCGGCGCCCTCCGGCCGGGGGG